TCTGATTCTTTCTGCTGGTGCATTATGGGAATTTTAGATAACACAATTTATCTTTAATTTAAATGAAAAACAGGTAATTCAATTGTCAGCCTTATACATTATTTTCTGTGCTGTTTCCCGATGTCTAATATACAACTACACATCTACCACAAATTTTAGAAATACACACCTGAGAGTCTTCATAAAATAAAATTTATTTTTTTTTGCACTCTTATGTATTTTTTAGAACTTAAGGAACACTGTTACTGCACTGACTAAACCCCAAACATTTACTGTCAAATGGGCTCATAAGTTTAACACACAGCTAAGTAAAAACAAATACATAACCAAATAGTAGTCAGAGAAAGTTCTTCAAAACAAAGTCTACCAACTCCTTTCAGAAACACTACAAAAACATTTCACAGGCTAATGCAGTTTTAGTCTATATACACATTTACTTAGGATATATTCAAAATACATACAAAATTGCCTTATTGATATTAATCTTTGATAATTAAGTACAAAAAATAAAAGAAAATTCAAGAAATGTGAAAAAATAAAAATGTAGATAAATCTACAAACACCTTTCTAAAGTTAGGTGTACAGTGTATTACATTTTGTTGCTTTTTCATCGTGCATTACTATATTAACGGTTCAACTGGCCTGAATTAGCAGATCCAGATAGCTCCATAACTAAATTCTGGATCTAATTAAGAGGATATTTATATACACTGAATGATAAAATTTATTTTGTGTAAAACTATAAACCCAATAAAACATAAAAGGTTACTGAAATATCTCAAGTTTTTATTGAGGTTTCACAACATTTAGAAACTAATTAGTTTTAAAAATGCTGATTATTAATACCATATCTAGCGTCCATGTTATATTCTAAGTAAAGTCAAGAGAAAAACAGTGACAAACCCTACAGCACCAGTGACCATATGCAAAATTCATTATCAACTGGTATTTTGCTAATATTATATATACTCCATACGAATCATTGCAGATCACCAAGTCACATATTTAATTCATCAACAGTAATACATTAAAAAAATTTCCAATGGAATGCAACAGAGGCTTTACAGAGTTGTTGTGGTTAATCTACCAACGTATTAAATCAAAATGCTTTGAACCAGCATTAAACATCTGAATCATACCATAGTTTTAATAATCAATCGTGAGGAATGGACAAAATCATTCTGTATACAATTTGCAAATTTAAATCTGTGAACAAGCTGTTCATTAGTATTCTTTTGGCTGCAAACAATTCGAAATTTAACAATCATCAGTAATTTGATTGTGACACTATGTTTCACAGTCTTTACAGATTTTTATAAAATAAACTTTGCTAAAAATTTAAAACTGAATATCAAAGCAACATGACATGGGCAGTTACCAAAACACGAGAAATAAACCTTAGCATTTTACTGCATTCCCAATCTGCATGTTTCACTAAACAGCACAAGTAGGCTTCTGTAATGATTTTTAATGAAGAACCTGTACAGAAAATTGTATTTACCACATACATACAAATATAACTGACTACCTCTGTACACAAATAAGCAAACTTGTATAATACTAAGAAAAGCCATGGGTTTTGCTAGTTACATAAATACTAAAACTTAAACAAGTTTATTATCAAACAAATGAAATATTTTCATTATAAAGCCAGTCCAGTAAAAAGTTCTGGAGATTTGAATGGAAACAAATACTTCTACCACAACACTGAAATTAAGACTGATTAAATTATCTAACCTCAAAAGGTATACGTACTAATAAGCTGCCATATAGAACAATGTTTTTAACTGATAATACAAGTATAAAAAACACGTATACCATACCTGTATGTGCATCACTTAAGTAAATGAAAAATTCAAAATGTTCAGATATATTACAGATTACCTTCCTCACAGAGACTTGAACTTCTGATTCTAAACTAACTACAGTACACATGCAAAGCATTTAAGCATGCATGTGGAGACAGTACATGTAGTTTATATTTGAATATACACAAACAATGTTTGTGTAACAGGCACGTGAAAGTTACATAACATTTGATTCACATCTGCTTAACGTAATTATACCTAAACATGTATCCTAGAAACCAACCATCAGTTATTTTCTACACAATGATGTATGTAAAGAAGATAGGTGTTAGTTTCATTTTGGTATTAATAAGTATTGAATCTCATACAATAAATGTACGATAATTATAGAAAACTTCTACCAAAATCTCTTATACCATCAATAGTTTAGTTGGAACTTCTTTTTATGATACAGTTTGTTTGTGTTACCTCATATGTATCAACTATTTGAGAATAACATACAAGTTTGTGGTAACCACTCTATACCTTGCTGTCCCAGGCTTAAAAAGAAAGCAAGAAAAGTACAGTATCTTTGGTAAGTGGGAGAGGTCTTCAGTTGTTCCTAAGGCCACTTCCCAACTGTTAATGATCCAAGGCCTGACACATGCAGCATGATGCGAGACTTGAAGCAGTACAGATGGTGGTGGCACAAGTTAGTGACTCAATAAACAGATATCATCTATGCCCACTGACCTAAAATACGACAGAGAGAAAAGTGCCAAAGCTAATTTCAGATTCATCCAAACTGAAACATTATGCAGTAGTAACATGGTTTTACATTTAGCATAATCAATAAGCAGGATAAAAAAAGATAAATACAAAATCTAGCATATCTCCATCAGAACAATGTTTCAACAATTACAGAGAACTAAGAATGAAGGTGTACAGTGTATATATGTACGTATGTGTATTTGTGACTATTTAAATGTTGTGTTATTTTTAAAACATATTTTCTGAAAATAGCCTTTGTAACACTTCATTTTACTCAACCCAAACAGACATACACTAAAGTTAAATCACCTACACTCCTACAGCAGTTACTAAGAAAACCAGTGTTTATAAAGAGATACATCATGCTTGACTGAAACTAGTTTCTTGTAACTTTAACTTACTGTATCGGTGCATTTAGGTGAGAAAATACAAACTGACAAAAGCATACATTTGAAACATCAACTAAGCATAACCAGAAGCTGATATAAGTGGCACCTTCTTATGAATTAGCAAAACAGCAAGAATCCTGACCAAACAAGTGATCTGAGATAAAAACCTATACTGATTAAATATCAATGCAAACTTTATTTCCTATGTTAAGCCTAACCACTTGTGTGTGTGTGTGTGTGTGTGTGTGTGTGTGTGTGTGTGTGTGTCTGTGTGTGTAGAAGTAATAGAACTAACTAGTGGTACGGTACTAACTACTACCGAAGAGATAACTAAGTAAACTTAAAAACAAACTAAAAGTTAAGTACGTAG